AAGGCAAGAAGTAACTTGCCTACAAGCTTTCAAAAGAGAACCTAGTTACAGAAGGTGAGGGGGAAAGTAGAATCTCCACTGAGTATTATCTAATCTTTCTGGACAGGGCTGATGAAAGGAGATGGGGATAAGTTTCTTGTGGTACAATAGTGAATAACTGCTATCAGGACTGACTGTGAGGGTTGGAAATGTAAAGGTAGATGCTTTGTAACAAAAGGAAGGGAGTGGTTGACTTTGCAAGTCCAGGAGCATAGGTCCCTGGGACCATCAAGGGAGAAGAAGCTGAGGACTCTAGACCCAGACAGGGAGAGGGGCTGTGTGCTGACAACCAAGGGGCAGGCTTGCAGGGTATACCCTTTGGTTGGTTGATGATGCATGGAGGCAACTGCAATCATGGCAGTGAAACGAAATACAATAGGATGAATGTAAAGCTAATGTTCTCTCATGTAAACTATCACATAATTTACAATAAAACCTTAAAACAAAAAACTCTATGTTAAGATTAACATTTTCCTTGGTCCAAGCAGGTGTCAGTGTCAAAAATGTTAATCTAGAGTAATAATGTCAATAACCTGGTTATGATGTTATACTATAGTTTTACAAGGTGTTATCATTAAAACCAGATACACACACACAAAAAAAAAGATAGATGATGGTGGTGGGGAAGCAGATTATAGAGGAAAGATTTAAATTTAACACATGCTCCTGAACAAATATTTAGCTGAAAGAATGTGAGATATTTCAATAATTTCATCTCACAGGCATAGTAGTCTCCCTTACTTGTTTCAATTAGATTCAATTGAAGTAATTTAATTCAAATCAGTTTGATTCAGCAAAGGTTAATAAAGCATCTTCTATGAAAGACTGAGCTAGACCCAACCTCACAAATGTCTGGTTATAAGTGACTTAGGAGGGGAGTCCTATCATTGAACAAGAACAAGTACTTTTAAAGCTTAAAAATTCATCTTGAAAATAGGATGTTTATCAAAACAGGAAAATCTTAAAAGTAAAAAGGAAGCATGGCCAAGCTAAAATACTATGGACTTAGCCCAATGTGATCTGTCAACTTTGTTGACTAAATTAAATAAAGGATTAAAAAAAAAAAGAAATATGTATGAGTATCTCTACCATATCTATATGCATATCTGGGGAGAGTTTTTGATTAACTGCTTGCTATCTTAATAGCTAAGGAACTCTGGTAGCATAGTAGTTACGAATCAGTTTGCTAACCTCAAGGTCGGCAATTCGAAACTACCAGCCGTTCTGCAAGAGAAACATGAGGCTTTCTGCTCCCGTAAAGATTTACAGCCTCGGAAACCCTGTGCAGGGTCACTATGAGTCGGAACCGACTCGACGGCACTTAACAACAACAACAACAAATGTTAAACTAAAACTCAGAAATTTTGAAGTCACAATCAAGCATACCTAGAGTCTACTCAACTAATCGGAACCAATACCAAATATTTCACTTCCTAAAAAGTAGTGTACATAGAAGAAACAAGGGTTTTACAATCAGACAGGTCAAGGTTGAAATCTGGTTTTATTGCTTAGTCACTCAAATAAGCTGAATGAGCTTTGACAAGTTAACTGAACAAGTTAACTATCGCTTTGTAAGATATTATCTTACTTTGACAAATGAACTTCAGTTTCCTCCACAGTAACAAAAGGATATTAATTTTTACTTTGCAGGGTTGTTATAAGGACTCAATTAGGTAATTTATGTAAGGTGTCTTTTACAATATCTAGAACAGAACCGAGTAGGCACTACAAAAAGTATTTCTTGAATACATACTGAAAAGTTTAATTATCATTAATAATAATAGTAGCACTATTAAGATAAATTGTGAAAACAGATCTTCCTTCACTACATACTGTTGTTAAGTGCTGTCGAGTCAATTCTGACTCATAGTGACCTTGCAGCACAGGGTTTCTCAGGAGAGGCTGGTGAGTTTGAACTGCACACTTTGAAGTTCAAACCGACCTTGGGGTCCAGTGCATTATCTTGCAGCGCCACACCAAGCAGTTTTCATTTTGTTTTGCTTTCTGTCTGTTTTTTAAGCCTGTAAGCACCTTGGTAAGAGAGCAGAATATCTCTTTTCCGCATTCTCTGAATTTCAAGGAGTAGGAATACCTGTTGAGTTCTGCTGCTGAACTGTATATCACCTTATTGTCCAGGGTATGGCACCTAACAACAACAGCAACAATTATCTCAGCTATTCTAAAATGTCTCCATCAACCAAGGTTCCTCTTTGAACCGCAAGAACTCACCTGAAAATGATGTTCCTGTGGGAACTGATATTTCTGCCTCCATATAGAGTAGTGATCCAGGAGGGCCTTGGTCTCACACCCCACTGCTTAAAACATTCATCCGATAATTCCTTCAAGTCCCATGAGTGAGGTTCAAACATGTCATTGACACCATTAGTACAAAAGGGCATGATTATTTCTGTGCAGGCCTGAAAAAGCAAACCAGGAGAGAATCCAAAAAGAAAATGAGACTGAGAGAGATGAAATAATGTCCAAGGCCATGCAACTATTTAGTAGCACCTGGTTTTGAACTCAGGCAGACTGGCTTCAAAGGTCCTAGGCTCTACCTCTATACCATGCAACCTCATAGTTCATAGAAAAACTTGGCTGAAAGGTTATAGAAGTTAGGACTATATACTCCTTCTTTGTGAATGGTTTTATTGCACATCTATCATCATACTTAACTCTCAGAAACAAATCTGGAAGGGAAATATTATTATTGTTACTCTCATTGTATAAAGGAAGAAATAGAGATTCATAAAAAATCACGTTTGACTTCCCTTCTTTTATGTGAGGAGCACTGGTGGTGGTGCCGTTGTTTAAAGCACTTGGCTTTAACCAAAAGGTAGTGGCTCAAACCTACAGATCGTTTCCACATGACAGTCTACTTCTATAAAGATTTACAGCCTCAGAAACCCTATGGAGCAGCTCTACTCTGTCTTATAGGGTTGCTACGAGTCAGGATCCACTAAACAGCAATGGAAGGGTCATTATGTTTCCTTCATAGGACTTATCACTATATAGAACATGACATTGTGGATTAAAGCACTAGACTGCAAAGTCGTTTGAACTGCAAGGTCAGTGGTTCAAGCTCACCAGCCATTCCTTGGAAACCCTATACAGGGTCATTATGGGTCAGAACCAACTTGACAGCACTTAACAACAACAACAACATAACAACAACAATAACGTTATAATATTATAACGTTGAGTTATCTATCTTTCTTACCAGGCTGTATTTAATTGGTGAGACCTAGAGCAGTGCCCAAAACATAGTAAGCACTCAATATATACTTGTATTTTGTGATGATTACTAAATATATAAATGAATGAAAAACGTGTCCATGGTCTTACCATGTAAGATGACAAAGCCCAGATTTGGATACAGTTTATGTGATAAAACCATGTATACTTTCTGTTACAGCACAACTGTATAATGAAAAAAGTTCCACTACCGGAAGTTATACACACTTACCTGATAACTCCAACCCAAGGATCCCAGACTGCTAGTGGCTGTCTCTGAGATATTCAGGCATTTCACCTGGCCTGAATAATTGTAATATACATTCAGAGCTTGGAAAAGATTCTGTACCAGCACTTGATCAGATACACTGGGATCTTTGAGATACTGGCACACCACCTGCCAGAGACATGAAAGGGAGGGCAGTTAGAATATTATTTTTTAAATATGGATTTTGATTTGACTAAAACACATTTAATAAACATCTACCTATACTGCTTGACAATCACTATTTCTTGAGAATTGACTCCCTTCATAAATCAGTAAAGCTCTCCAGTGTCTCTCCAGGTTATAGAAATAAACCAAAGTCCTTTACATTGTATGCAGGTATGTAACGTCCTCCCTGCCTACCACTCTAGCTTGTTCTCTGCAGCCTTTGTGCCACTCTAACAAAAGCTGTTCCCCACTACACCAAACTCTTTCCCTTTCTTTGCCTCTGCTCACCCTGACGTGCCTCCCCTCACCCTCCAACTCCACTGCTGGGCTGCTGCTAAGTGCCATAGAGCTGGTTCCAACTCACAGTGACCCTGTATATGGTTTCTGAGAAGACGGCAAATCTCTACAGGAACAGAAAGCCTCATCTTTCTCTTGTGGAGCAGATGGTGGACTCAAACTGCTGATCTGTGGTTTGCAGTTCAGAGTCACTACACTCTTCAACTCCACTAATGTCTGGAAAACACCAACTTCCATGACACTCAGCAAATATCACCTCCTCTCTGAGGCCCTCCTTATCAATGTTCCCAATGCTGGAAAAACAAAGGACTTCCCTTTTTGCACCTTCACATTATTGTGTGTCTAGCTCTACCAGAATCCTTGTGTAAAAAAGAATTTTGGCTGGCCTCTGACCCAGTGCTGCGCTGCACTCATTTGATTCCAGGATGGTTTCCTTAATCCTTAGCAACTAATTACTTGCTAAATGAATGACTACACTTTTGTGATAATACAAAATTTATAAAAACGTATGGCAAAACTACACCAAGCTCCAACATCCATTATGTGATCAAAAGTATACCAAGCAACTCCCCAGCTCCCAATGATTTTCATCCCAGCTTATAATCAATGCCTGGAATTTTAGCCTGAAAATCACAGGCAATAAGATCATAGTTGAATAGCAACAGCAGGAACACCAATAATAGATACTAATTTTGAGTCCTGGGTTTATAACCATATGTGACTTGATTCTCAAACAAGCTATATTTCACATGGAAATTGAGACTTAGGTCAAAACACTTTATTTAAGGTCTCTATGGTTATAAAGTAAACATCTTATCCTTTATGTTACATAGCTAAGGAAAGACTCCTATGAAAAACTGCAAATGGTCCCATGGAAAACATTTTAAGCTGTCATACTTTATTAACATCTGAACATGAATTCGGTAACTCAGTCCTTCCCAATTTCATATGAAAAACATAAATACTATGGGCAAGTTCTAAGACAAAAGAGACTAGTCCAGAGAAGGAACCAGATCAGAAGGAGACCCAGCTACCCAACCTCCAGGTACAACTTCTGGGTAGCAAAAGTAACAACAGGCCTGGGCTGAGGACATACTCCCCGTTAAGAAAGAACAGCACTGAGAAAGCAGCTGGGAACAAAGCCAGCCCTGTAACATCATTCTGCTCTGACCAGCTCTTAGCAACACCCTTCAAAAAAAGAAGAAACTTGAAAAGACAGAAAAAATAAGTCATAGGGAAAGTCAAGGCCTCCCCCCAAATAGATTCTACACAACAATATTTCTAAGGAATGTTAATTGATACTTTGTGAAAAAGAAAACATTTTCTTTAGTCAAAATAATCTTAGGAAATATTATGTGAGCAAATGTACACAATTTTCTTGATGGCTGGATGTCTCAAAGCTTTTAACATCTTGACTGCAATGTAACTTTCCAGTGTAACTCACAGCAACCCTGTATACGATTTCTGGGGAGTTGCTGGTGTATTTGAATCACTGACCTTGCAGTTAGCAACCCATTGCTTATCCTACAGTGCCACACCAGGATTCCTGTGGTGTTGGTGGTGGTTATGTGCCATGCAGTCGGTTCTGACACATAGTGACCCTGTATAGGGTTTCCGAGGCTGTAAATCTTTATGGGAGCAGAAAGCTTCATCTTTCTCCCACGGAACGGCTGGTAGTTTCGAACTGCTGACCTTGAGGTTCACAGCCTGATTCGTAACCACTACACTACCAGAGCTCCTTGTGGTGCTGGTAGATGCCATCAAGTCGATTTTCTGACTCATGGTGACCCTACGTCCCAGAGGAGGACTGCCTGATAGGGTTTTCTGGACTGTATGTAATCTTCATAGGAGCAGATCGCCAAGTCTTTCTTCCACAGAGCCGCTGGGGAGGTTCAAACTGGCAACTCTTTGTTTAGCAGTTGAGAACTTAACCATTGCACTGCCAGGGCTCTTATACCAGGCTTTGTGATATACACAAAGAAACAAAACTGAGTTAAACTGAGAGCTTCAGAAACCTATCAAAGCTAGTAATAAAGGAATGCAAACTGAAGAAAACTTAAAAGGCAAAATAGTGTTTAACTATTCTGAAAACTCTTAATTATTCAGTGCAGGTCAAAAAATCCTAATTGTTGCAAAGTATTTTTGTAAACAAAAAAATATTCCCAGGAAATACATCAATCAGAAGTACTCAAGAAAATACAGAAGTCAAGATCCAAACATAGTATTTATTACACCATTGATTACAACAGTTGATTAGCATTCTTTCCTGAATCAGGACACTAATAGTGGCCTCCTCTCTTTCAAAATGCAGCACGAAACTACAGAGCAGATGCCTGGAATGACGAGAAGAGCATCCTGTTCAAGCACAGCATGGTAGATGACACAGGGTGACAAAGTGAGCTAGGCAGGGGGAACAAGTAGGACTGAGACACAACACCAACTGAGCTAAAACTCGGGAAAAGAACAGTGGTAAGTGAGTGTGACTCACATGCTGGCACCAGATCCCCTCTCAGAGCTAGAACACTGGGCCTCTGTCGGGCAAAGAAAAGGAGTTCCCATGAATAGCCATCTCTGCAAACAGCAGTTACTGTCACTGCTGAAAAGACACAAGCATGGCTGTGGACTGGCACCAGCTGATAATACTTGGGTTTCAGTAGCCCCAGTTACATAGAGAGGACAACATGGTCAGAAATTTTGGCTTTGCTGATAGAAATGTCAGGCCCCAATTAGGAGCCATGCTGGGCTCAGATCACCCTTGGAGCACTGGGTCCAGTTCCATGTTTTTAAGAAGAGCAGTGGCCGGCCTGAGAAAATCCAGAGGAGGACAATGTAGATGGGAAGATCATTTCCAACCTACCATGGTTAGAAATAATGCAGGAATAGTCTTGGGGTGAAATCTTTACATATATCCCTATTGTTTTCTTGAGATAAAGTCTTAAATTCCTGGTTCAAAGCAAATAAACATTCTAAGAACGTAAGTACTGTTGAGTCAGTTCCAGTTCATAGTGACCCTGCATAGGGTTTCCAAGGAGCAGCTGGTGAACTTGAATCACCGAACCTGTGATTCAGAGTGACCTTGCATTCCAGCACATTAACCCACAACACCACACCAGGACGCCTTCTAATGACTATATCCTGTCAAACTGCCTTATAGAAAGAAAGTACTGAAGGAACAAACAAGATGGCGGATCGGGTGGACGTGCAGCAAAGGAGCTCCACCAGCAACAACACAGAATACCCGAACAAGCAGGCTCAGG